TGCGCTTTTCCTCGATGGCACTGGGTTAATATACATACTGTGAATACACAAAGCTAGTCTTCTCTGTTCTGGGATCCCTAGACAGTCTCATCTAAGTCTGGCCAGCTACAGTTTTTGATTGGTCAGCTGACTTGATTTCGGTGAGGCTGTCAAGGAATCCCAGGACAGAGAAGACTAATGTGACCTTAGCTTAAGCATAGCCCACTCCGTGCATGATGATCTGATTTTTAATTATGTAATTACTCTGATCTCTAAATACACATGTACTAAGTAGTTAGTTTTCTCTCTAAAGGTTTTGTAAAGCAATAATAAGAAATCAGTAGCACTGATTAAGGACCAGTTTTCTTTGTGGTCTCTTGTTTTATTGGAAAGGATATTTTTGTATTTATCTTTTGCTTAAGATTAACAAATGAAAAATGGAAAACATTTTAGTCAGGTGGGATTATGATTATCTATAGTGTTAACTAATTTAAGATAAATTTACACTTCATCTATTATTAATAATAGCCCGTAGCTGGATAGTAATAGCCGTAGCTGGTAAGTATTTCATTTTATGAAGATTATGTGATAATATATATATTAAAAGGATTTCATAACTCACTCTTGCAATGCACTTGCCTGATTTTATGGAAGTTATGTGAGCTCATTTCAGCAACTTGCTGTGGAGAGTCAGATTCTTTTGGAAAAGCATCTTTTGCTGTTTCAGGTACAGTCTCAACCAATGTACCAGGTACCATGCCTTCTCTAATTGTTTGGGGAAAAAAAATAGAAATATATCAAACTGTAATAAGTCAAAGAAGTTAAGTCAACTTCATTCACTCATAGGAGTATAGTTACTGAATTAGTAATTTACTTACAAATGTTAGTTAATGCCTACAAAGCAAAAACAATTATTTCCAAAGAATACTTTCTTTGCCTTATGCTATTAAGCCCATACCTAAATAAGCAATGGGGTGTGAGAGTAAACTTACCTTCTCTCATATAATCTGTGTTCGATTCTCCAAGGAATCCCAAACTGTCTAGGTAAAGAAGGCTTCTTTTTAACTGTCTCTTGACTCTCATTCAGTCCTCTGGTTTCCTTGAGTTTATTCCTGCCAGTAGCTGCATATGTCCCCACCTTTCCTTCAGGATTTTTATTTACTTGCCAACCTCCGTGAGGGCTATCCATCAAATCCAACCAGACATATTGCTAATGTAGAAAAAAAAAATGTGGCCATTACACAAAGTTAATAGAACCCCATAAGTATTTTTTTGCAACATATTGTTCATTTTATGTATGGTCATATATTGTTTCATAAATTAGCTATTTCTTTGCTCAAGTTATATTTACTTATTTCATTTATAAACCAACTTGCATCATGAATTACAAATCAATCACAAGGCACAAATTCCACTCACTTGTACACTATATTGATCTTGTCTGTCAGTCAATAATGCAGTCACTTCATTTACTAAGTGGTTGGCAACAAAGGGGTTTCTTCTTAAATCTACAATCTCCAGAACTTGATTGGCCTTCAGAACTTTCTTCATCAGCATCCCACTCTCATTGCTTAGACCACAGTGTTGGAGGTCAATGGCTTCATAAAATTTATGAATATAGGATTAATTTAAATCCACTGGACAGTCACAATATGGCTTCCAATTGAACAATTTTATATATAATGTACAAATTCTAATTATGAGCATATCATATATCAGCCTCATAATACTCAAACCAATTTAATCTTTCCTCTAGCTTAAATGTTTATATACACATATGTTCACTGTTGCACCTTCCCCTTCCCCACATATACACTTGCACAAAACATATTCATCTTTTTAAAATCTTACCCTTGATCCACAAATCTTCATAAAGCACATCTGCAATAGCTGCCAACCCATTGTCCCCAAGGTGGGGGTTATCATTAAGAGTTACCCTCCGAAGACCTCGCATGCCATCCAGGTGAGGCTGCCGCAGCCTAAGGGTATCTTGCCACATGGCACTGTCTCGGTTCATCCTCTGATGCTGTCATGTTTTGAAAGATCAATTTAATACTGTGAGGTTATTTTACCACATGTTCCTAGTAGGGATTAAAAGGATCATAGTGCCTTCAAAAAAGTACCTTGAAAAAAGGGAAAATATAAAACAAAGACTTATGACAAAAAAAATCAAAGATGCACGAAATATACCTAAAATTCTATAAATGTATGGCACATACATACTTGCATTAGGCTGGCCACTGCACAGGCCCCTTTTTCAGATACTGAGCAATGTGTCAGTGCAAGATGAGTGATACTTGGCACATTCTTAACACTCTGACAGACAAGTTCAGCTCCATTGTTGCCAAGTTCACAGCCTCTTAGGCTCAGGCTCTTGAGATGACGTGTTTTGGAGAGGCCCTGAAATTACCATTTGTTAAATGAGCCTTCTTCATATCAGTTAAACAATCACTTGGGTTTTACTGGGTACCACTTTCTTATCGCAATGCTGATCCTGAAATCCTTTTACAAAAAAAAAAAAAAGCTGACATCATTATACAAAACATCATTCACTTCATTTTATGAAAAACATTATGATAATTTGCTCAAATTGAGATACACATAAAGGAAGAAATATTTGTAGATACTGATGGCCAAGTGACTAAATCAGAATATTTGAATTTCAAAAATGGCTATCAATGTCTTTGCTGATACACAATTTATCTAATCATAACTTACAACAGATCTTACCTGGCAAAGTATACTGAGGTTGTTGCCTCTTAGGGTTACATTGCTGATACTGAGCACTGACACTGTCATGGAGACAGACAAACTCGCACTGATACCTTTCATAATCCTCTGAATTGTCTTCACTCCCACTGAAGGAAAATATGTCATCATCATTAGATGTGTGAAACTGTTCATATGCATACATACATTTTATAGCACTCTTTAATTGAAATCTCTACTCTGATATTTTTGTTTTGTTTTTTATATAGCACCTCTTCTGCTGGTAATGTGATGAATGTTTACAGTGAATAGTACAAAATTCATCATCAATATCATTACAAAAGCTGAGAATTTATGATTTTCCACCCCATTTACAATGAGCGGCAAGGCATAAAAGAACTCATCAAATACCAAAATATTTCAAAGGACAGCTACAGTTGTTTCCTCTATATATTACCTTCTTTCCCAGGTGGAATATATATGAAGACCTGAAGGGGAGTAACTTTGTTTTGCAGTGTGTGACATAGTGCTTCTAAATGGTCTAGGTCTATATCTGATACGTTAATCTCTAAATTTCCTTGAGAAAGTTGATGAGTAAACCGGCCAATGGGGTAGGTGTTATATAGTTCACATGAGAGCCTGTAATGTCGAGTGAGTGTTTCACCAAGCAGTTGTATATTAGGAGCTTTTGGGGACATCCTGCTGACCCAATCTGCAAAGTAAGGAAGATTTCCATAATAGAAACAAGTAACATATGATCAGAATTTCAGATAATACTTTTCAAGTCAGTAAGAAAAACGAAAGTATCATGATAAATATCAATCTTGATTTATACTTAATATACATTTATGTTTCCACAAACTTTAGCCTATCATTCTATAATAGTCTAATAATTTTAATGAGTGTCATTTATTTATCTTTAATGCTATGAACAATAAAAGTAATTATATGAAATTACTCTCTACCTGTCATACAAACAATATTTGGTAAACACATCACAAGCCAAAATCTAATACTACCCAAAAAACAGCTAAACTAGAAATTATGAACTATTGGACATATAAGTAAAGAATAAGATATAATGTCCTTTTTTCTATAATAGGTAGATGATGATACTAATATTATTAGCACCAACAGATTTGTGAGGCTAAAGATTACTGAAAACATTTTAATCATATCAAAATGTATGAGAAAACCTATTCCTTTTCACTAAGGAAAGGCAGCAAATTTACTATTTATCTATATGTGTTCCTTTTTATTCATGAAAGTTACCCTGGACTTTCATCACTTTTCCATTCGTCATGCCCTCCTCATCGACAGCCACTACAGATGGACTGTAAGGGATCTATAATTTCAGAATCAGACAAAAATTTCATGATTAAAATCCTAACCCTCTTGCATGTGCAGTTCAAGCATGTTTGTTATACAGTGCCTGTCTTGCCTCCAATCACGAGACAGCTTTTGGTGTCACATCATGTCGCAAGACACCCTAATTACCACCAGAAATGATAGCATAGGTTTTCTGGAGGCATAAGACGTATATATTCAACTTGGCCCCATTTTATTTTAACCCACTCACGCCGGTATATTTTGAAGCCGAAAATAAATCTTTTCCAGGCAGCTGAGCAAAAAAATGTCTGTGAGTTTCAGCACACAGTTGTGTCATTGTGTGGATTGCTGTTTGTCATCCACAAAATGATATGCTCTCTTGAATGCATGGCATTTGCCGTGGACAGCACAGGACAAAAAATCAAGGTCTGTAAGTGTCCTAATAAAGGGTATCATTACTATAATCATCAATCAGTTTGTGATTATTACTTGCTATAAATTATTAACCATTGTGCCACCTTAAGTATAGTTTGATTTGAATGCCATGACTAATATTGTTGGTCAAAAACCATATATACAAATGTAAATGTTACAAGTCATAAATTTAACACATGAAAAAATACCTAATGTTTAATTAAAACGAATCATTAAAGTACTAAACATTTGGAAAAAAAATTGCAGCATACTGCATATAATCTGTACAACTCGCCCATACCTTACTTTTAAAAATATTAGAGAATCATATTTTTCCAATTCCTGTTTCTTTTATCGGGGTCCTGTTCAGAACTGTTTGTTTATCTCGGACATTCTTCAGGGATCAAGTGTATAAATATATATCAATATGATGGAAATAAGATATCGTTACAGAAGGTTATATCCCTTATTTTTAACATTTTCATAATGTTTTGGTTATTTTCGTGAAGGAAATAGATAACAGGTGATAAATGTAGATTTCATGGATCGTGTATATAAATGTGTACATTGCAACATGTTGATATACCACAACACTACAGGCAGCCGATAATACTTCAGCATTTAGGAACACAGCATTTCATGATAGGATACTTGGCTTTGAGATTAATTAATTAGATAAAGCACCATCTTGTCAAGGAGTTGAGAGGTTAGTAAATGTAAAAATATAAAGCGAAAATGTTTGAAATACAACCAATATAATAGTAAACTGTACCACCAAAGGCTCAAGAAAAGGTATATTTAGAGTTACAAAGTGTTCATAGAAGGTTAATTATTTTACCAAAGCAACACAACCATTTTAAGGATGATTCCTGCAGACCATTAATAAGGATTAAGAGGACTGTGTACATGAAGTATTAATAGAATTACAAAAGAGATACAAGTACGGCAGCTGTATCCCGATATCTCGCAGTTAGGCGTACAGCTCACAGTTGTGCATGCACATATAAACGGAATAGTTTTAGTTCTACACAGCTTTTGCTCTATCTCATCTCGTATCTCCTTCATTTTGCACATCTTTTGCCATAGCTGAAAAGTGTCTTTATTTTATTTACCTTCTATTAGAAGGTAAATTTTACAGCTAATGGACATAATGAACAAAATTAAGAAGGCACAGGTTAGAGTTACAGCTGCATTATTTGCTTATCCATATTATAGAGTTTTATTAGTCCACTGCACATATGCATAATCTGGTCACTTTGGCAATTACTTATGTTTCATGAGGCCTTTTCCCATTTCTTACCTAACCTAACCTACCCTAATCTAATCTAACCAGCCTAACCTAATCTAACCTAACCAACTTAACCTAATCTAACTGGTTAGGTTAGGTTAGGTTGAAAACGGGAAAAGGCCTCATGAAACATAAGACACTGTACTGCCTATTACAGTATGATGCCAATTGATCATGCTTCTCTGAGTTATAGAGCCAATTATGATTGCCCTATTGCATTTTCAGTGCAGTATACCTGCAATGCCAGCTGGAACTTTTCAATGTTGATTATCAAGTAAAAAGTGTTTTTAGGCATGTTACTCTTTACTTTTATAAGCTTGGTTGTTAGATATAAGCCAAAGAATCATATATGCAAATGATAAAGTTAATAAATCAAAGGGACTTATTTTGTATGCACTCCTGTCAGAAATCAGAAATAACAAAGTTATTGGACATACAAGTATCAGAGAGCTTGAAATGAAAAACTGGTTGAAACTGGAAATTTACAGCAATTTATATTTGTGGGTCAGTAAGACTGATTTGGGTAAATGTCAATAACCATGGGTGAACTTCATTATAAAGTCATCCAAAGATGTGTTCATGGTACACACAGCTAAACACCAAGGTGGATGTCTACAAGCTCTTATCCTAGTGATAGGATGTCACATGTCATCTATGATTATTTACCATAAGATGAAATTGTTACCTGTTACCAATGTATTGAGCAGTTCTCACCAAAAATCTTTAATCTAGGTTGTTGAATTTGTCTCAGTGGATCAGCATATCCTCCATGCTGTGCACTCAATCAAAAACCATCAAATCCTCACCACATATTTTGACAAGATTGAGTTCAGACTGATGACTTACTTAACAGTAAAAGTGGGAGTGCAAGTTCTCTAAGTTCTTATAGTGATAGGATGTACAAAATGAAATTTTGTTGGTCATTGCTGAAGTACCATCAGGAGTGTACATTATGTTGATTGGCACAAGGTTATCAGTGGAGGTGCAGGTGTCTTCTAAACATATACCAGTAATTTTTAAGACATGGAAATGAATATAAGCTGTGTCAAGGAACAAGAATGGGAATAATAATTGAGTATTGTTGGGTTTTGATTATTTGTTATAGTACTTATATAAATATACCTTACAAAAATAGCTGCTCAACTGATTTAGCCTGAATTTTTTTAACTTCTCTACAGTAGGCTAGAAAGTCTATTACAGTCCTCAGCCAAATATTTATCTGATGAATTCAAATCTTAAACCCATGCCATGCAAGCTGAGCCCACTCAAAGTTGTGCATGAACAATAGTTATTTGCTTGTTTAGCCATTACTGTAGTGAATGAGTTGCAGCACCTAAAATGTAGGCTTGAAGTCACATTTTAGCTCCATTTTTGGGGATTTTTTATATTTTACATCCAAAATTGAAGTGAGAAAATTATGTTTCCTTTTCTTTTATTTTTTTCTAGTGGTTGATTGCATAGGGTGCTGGTGCATAGTCCAGTATGGTGTGCAAAGTATTTATGGTACTGATAACTGTGACTGACCATGAGATGTCCTGTAACACGGCTAAGAATATTTTCAAGCCTGACTAGCACAGGAGGGTGTAACTGTAAAGTAACCAGGATGGGAGTCTAGGCAGTTAGATATGCCTGAGAGGCTTGAGCTTATTCTAATTAGTAAAATCTTGACTTGAGTCAGCATGGGTCCCTCAGTCCTTTTAATATCTGACTGTGCCTTTATCCATCACACATTAATTGTTATATACATTAATCTAAGAATGACAGGTAAATTATATAGATGAGTGTAAGTTTAATTCCTTTATAAGCCAGTATGTATCCTTATTTTTGTCTGAACAGATTCTATAAATAATTTATTGTATGAGAGACTTATCAAATACGAGTTTCAGTACATGATTTTTTTTTGTATAAAAATGGATCTACTGGAAGTACTTTGGTTATAAATACCACATTAAACTTTGAAAATCATGCAGAAAAATCTGGTATATGTACATATACCCACTGATAGATACTTAAAAAAATAATAATAAATAAATAAAAGCACAGACTAATATTTATTACAGGTATGATTTTCCATAAAATTTTATCCTGTCATCCCAATATAGATCATAGAATTAAAGACAACACCATCCATTCTGTCCTCATCTTTCAGACTCCTCTTTATAGAGGTTATGGTGGTGACTCCTCCATGTCCTGTTTGCTTTGGGCATCGAGGTACTAAGGTTCCAAAGCCTTAGGGAATAAGAAGACATACCTCCTCAAAACCTCAACTTTTGTTTAAGATTTGGACACAGGCAAGTAGCACAAAGGGGCTATATTATCCACTTAGAACTGGTAAATTTTATCATTCCAAGAATTCCTCAATTTTGCATACCAGAAAATGAATATTTTGCTGTCATATATCAAATAGCAGAAGTGTCAATAGGGCACAGGGTTGAAGTAGTTATTGTATTTATCCTCATTTATCCATATAAACATGTTAATAACACACTTTTAAAGCAAAATGAAAATCATATTTTGATCATGGAAAAAATGTACTTAGAGGTATTTATAAATAACAAGATGTGTGAATAATATAATAATGTTCCTGGAGGTAATTCTGTGGCCTAAGATGCCCAAGTACTGATCAAGTATTTGGGAGTTTGAGCCTCTGCAGTGCCCCAACTTTTACTAGCATATGGGGGAAGTGCCAACCTGTAGATGCCTGCCCACCTTACTTTTATTGTAACTGTCTTTGGTAACAGTATGGTATGTAGGAGAGTAAAAAAAATGGGGGGTCTTATGTGGCTTAAAATTGCAAAGCAGTACCAGAATTACTAAATCACACTCACTATATTTCATTCATTAAAATAAAGAGTCAGGACTGTAAGATTGGTTAAGGGAAAAGTGGCTGAAATGGAAGTGGGGCTATGGGGGTGATATTATGGATATGGCTGGAGGAACCTTGACAAATAGTACCTGATATATCATTTGACACTACATATATCTCATTGATAATTGAGAAGTTGCAGCCAGATTTTTACAGACCTTGCATGGTAATGGCAAATGATAAAGTCTAGTCCCATTCACTACATTATGTGGTGAAAAGTACCAGAAGAATTATGAAACTACTACTTTTTATATGTATGTATGTATATTTATATATATATATATATATATATATATATATATATATATATATATATATATATATATATATATATATATATATATATATATATATATATATATATATATATATATATATATATATAATATATAATATATATAATGTGTGTGGATGGATGGATGTACTTTATGAAACTATTTGTATATGGTAATAATAAAGCTTCAGAGGATAGTTAGGGGTGCACAAAACCAAAACTAACTGTTCAAGTAACCAATAAGACATCATCACTGATACTTTTATGATATTTGAAAAAGGACATAGGGTCCAAGTCTATGGTTATTTTGATATGTATAAAATATGTTTATATGTATATATATACATATATATATGTATGTATATATATGTTTATATATTATTTTATATATGTATATTTTTATTTAGGAAATTTACTGCTTAAAAATTATTGTTTTCATTGATTATATGAAAATTCTGTGTCATGATTACTTTTTCTAAGTTTATTTGTATTAATTTCTAAATGTATTTTACAGTTCAATGATGGCTGATATTAGCAAGAAAACCACTGGAATGGAGAGCAAAAATGTGCAGAAGTCTTCAAGAAGGTAATGTAATACTTTTGTCAGTTTCCTTTTTTGAAAAGGTTTCTATCAGTTCTGCCCTAATTTTTTAAAACTTCCCAATTTAATTTGAAAAATGTAATACTTAATACAGATGTATGTAAAAAAAACGCTTAATTTTACATTTTAGTTAAGTGGCAGTCTCTTCATATTAATTTATGTCACAATATTGGTTCCAGGCTAGAGTCTTTCATCGCAACAAGTGAGCTTGCTAAGGCAGCTAGAAGCCGAGCACAAGCAGCCTTTTATAGGCTGATTGAAGAGGATGTTACTCCTCGTGTCTTTCGAGAAGAGGTATGTGCCATATATCTATTTTTTATACTTGTAGGTAATATTTTGAGTTTTTGCCTGTACACCTATATGTCAAAAGATTTGTATGATAATGACAATATCCATTTTGACACTATATGATATGATATCCTGTACAATTTTTTTTTCTGGATTTTTAGATTTTGTAAGAAAACTTTATTCTTTGGAACATGGTTGATAATTTATTTTCCCAGATTCAAAGCTGGCATGTGGTTAGGGCACTTTAAAGGTGGTTGCCATCAAAATCGGGAATCAGATTGAATTATTTTGTGGATTAGATTTATCACATGATACAGAACAGAAATTCTTAGCAAATTATAAATATTGACTCTTGGCTTTAGGCATCACCTTTGATGATTTTGAAGCAGCACTGTTATTGATGTTGCTGGAAACAATTTGGTTTATAATAAAACTATATTATTCAAATAACATCAAAATAAAGAGTAACATGACAAGAATAACGATAATAAAATTTTGATACATAATATAAATTTGATGTAAGTTAATATAGCCCTAATTGTAAAGGTAAAACTAATACTTTTTTCCAAATTTACATATTACCTCAGGGAGTAATAGCTCTGGGGAGGGCAAAAATTTGTGTAATGTACATCACATGAGGACATATTTTGCCCCACTGCCAGTAGTTTCCTCATGTTAACTTTTTCAATATGATTTATCATAAAAAGGATTTCAGTATATTTAATGGATCTACACAGCAATCTTTCAGTTTTCTCAATGAATACAGAGGTTATTTTTATTTGAGAGGGACAAAGTTAGTTTTGATAACCATTAGTTTCCCTGGACTAACAACTCCCTTTAAGCCAGTACTCTGACACAAGATGGGAAATGAAAACAGTGTCTAGCTGACTGGGGCAATTAGAAAATGGGAAACTCTGGCTTACCAGCCTGATGACAACAGAGGGTTAGGGTCATAAGCCACCAGTGCGATCTTTGGTAAACAACATTGACGGGTTCAGAAAATGGGAAACTCTGGCTTACCACTGTGATGCTTAGAGTGATATCACAGTATTGAAAAGGTAAAAGGTGTTGTCCAGAGTCAAGAGATAATTCTTCTGTTTTTGTATGAAGCTAATTAGTAATTGAAATTACTGTGAAAAGTAGTTTTGATGATGCCCAGATAGTATTGCTGCCACACAAGTTTGAGTTTATTCACTCTCTGTGTATAAATATCTTTCTTTCACTCTTGTTCATTCAATCTTCAATGTTCTCTCTATCCCTTTGTTCATTTGTTGCTATCCTTTGTCCATTTATTCATCCATATACTTCTTCCTCTCTTTTTATCTGTTGCCTCTGGACAACACCTTTCCAGCTTCTGTATCTGTTGCTAAACTGTAGGTATCCCCAGCTTCCGTCTGCTGCTGGATCACCTAGATTTTATAGCTCAAACTGATTGAATTCCACTCAAAACATGCTCTGCTGTTTCAAAGCCTCTTTTACTACATCTCTTGGTGTCCGTAAAAAGAACATTTATAAAAATTAACCACGTCTAAGTGAATGTCAGTTTATTCCTTATCAGGCACAGTAATAGTATCAACCAAGCACCTGTTGTGATATTAATGTTTCCTACTTTTCTGTGGGCTTCACATTTGGCTCAGTGCCTATGTGTACTTCAAGGATAATTTCAGACAAAGCTGATACAGGATTAAATTAATTTGTTGATGAGTATTGTGAAAGGGTACCAAAGAATATTTTCTTTGCATCATTTCAAAGAAAATGAAGCATCTTGCAATTCACATTGTTGTCATGCAACCTATAATACCTTCATCAGAAATGCATACAAAGCATGGAAATCCAGTATGATATGACCTCTTTTCTTGTCTGTAACATTAGGATGGTAACAATAATATTACTGCTATTGCTAATAACAATAAGGATGATAATAACAATAATAATAAAACTTTAACAACTTCTCTCACCAGCTTCACTTCATAAATCCAGAAATATATGAAGATATTATTGCTGACCGAAGCATTGCAGGATTGTGTGGGTATCCCTTGTGTTCAAATTATTTCAAAGACAAGTTTGGCAACAGAACGTACATCATTGTCAAGAATACTGTCTATGACATTACTGTCAGAAAGGTAAGTTTTGGAAGCAGTTGATGTTTTGGTTATCAGTGTATGTCCTTATTATGTATATAAAGGGAAAGCTTAACAGTAATATCCTTTTAAAGAAATGTGAATGCTAAAATTTGTTGTTGGCAACTGTGTGTCTATTTAGAAGGATTTTCTTTCTTGAAAATGTAATTGTACTTTATTTGAAAATGCAGAAAAGGATGTGCAAAAAGTGCATGTACACAATTTTTTTCTGTCAGACCCTTAATTCTTATGGACATTTATTTAGAGCAAGATTTAACTGCCTTTTGTAACTCATATGGTAATTAAGTTTTTTCACCTTCTGGGGAATGTTATTTTCAATGACTGAATGCACTGTCTATTGCCATAGGGTGTAGAAATAGAGGAGTAACCACAAAAGGAAACAAACAGTTGTCTTAGACCTTTAGACAAATCTTGGGGGCAATATATTTTCTGCAGAATTGATAAGTGGCAACCTTTAAGCACCTCAATCATTAGAACATTTCCTGCCAGTTTCTGTTACTGCTTACCTCTATCTCCATGCTGATTTGAGTACCCAGGAAATAGTTGGAACTTTCTTATCTGAATGCCATTCTGTTTGGTGATACAACATTACAACTCATATAGTGAGACAG